CCCCCACCCTGAAGAGGCTGTGGGCATCCTGAAAACAGCCCTCAGCCCCTCACCCAGGCTGGCCACACCCCCATGGTTAAGGGTCCCTGCTGGGGGCTTGGCCAGCCTGCAAACAGCCATCAGCCCCTCACCTAGGCTGGCCAGGCACCCCAGTGGGGACCCCCACCCCTGAAGAGGGTGTGGCCAGTCTGAAAACAGCCCTCAGCCCCTCACCCAGGCTGCCACACCCCCATGGGGTAAAGGTCCCTGCTGGGGGGGCTTGGCCAGCCTGAAAACAGCCATCAGCCCCTCACCTAGGCTGGCCAGGCACCCCAGTGGGACCCCCCACCCTGATCCAGGACACCCTTCAGGGCAAACCAGCCGGCCCCCATCTGTGCACCAGGCCTCTATCCTATATAATAAAAGGGGTAATATGCAAATTGACCTAACAGCAGACCGACTGGGAATGACTGATCACTATGACACACACTGACCACCAGGGGGCAGATGCTCAATGCTGGAGCTGCCCCCTGGTGGTCAGTGCGCTCACACAGGGGGAGCTCTGCTCAGCCACAAGCCAGGCTGATGGCTGCCAGCACAGCAGTGGTGGCGGGAGCCTCTCCCGCCTCCTCAGCAGCACTAAGGATGTCCAACTGCAGCTTAGGTCTGCTCCCTGCTGGTAAGTGGACATCCCCCGAAGGCTGCTGGGCTGCCAGAGGGATGTCTGACTGCCATCTTGGGCCCAATCCCCCAGGGAGCGGGCCTAAGCCAGCAGGTGGACATCCTCCGAGGGGTCCCAGGCTGCAAGAGGGCATAGGCTGGGCATAACCCCTCTGCCTGCCTGCCTGATCACCCCTAACTGCCTCTGCCTCCCTGATCGCCCCCAACTGCCCCAAATTTTTGTGCACTGGGCCTCTAGTTAGCAAATAAGATTAAATGAAAGTTGTTGGATTATACTTCCAGGACCACTCCTTAAAAGGAGGGTGACTCCTTTTGTTTTTTTCCCCTTCACTCTCTTCCTACCTGGTGGTCAGTGCACATCATAGCTACCAGTCGAACGGTCAAACGGTCAGACACTTAATATATTAGACATATATATACACACTAGAGGCCAGGTGCACGAAATTCATGCACGGACCGGGGGGAGGGGGGGTCCCTCAGCCCAGCCTGTACCCACTCCAATCGGGAACCCCTTGGGGGATGTCCAACCACCGGTTTAGGCCCGATCCCACAGTGGTAAACCAGCGGTCGGACACCCCTCTCACAATCTGGGACCGCTGGCTCCTAACCACTCACCTGCCTGCCTGCCTGATTGCCCCTAACCCCTCTGCCTGCCTGCCTGATCACCCCTGCCTCTGCCTCCCTGATCGCCCCCAACTGCCCTCCCCTGCCAGCCTGGTTGCCCCTAACTGCCCTCCCCTGCCGGCCTGATCTCGCCCCCAATGGCCCTCCCCTGCCGGCCTGATCTCGCCCCTAACTGCTCTCCCCTGCTAACCTGATCACCCCTAACTGCCCTCCCTGCCGGTCTCATCTTGCCCCCAACTGCCCTTCCCAGCCGGCCTGATCTCGCTTCCAACTGCCCTCCCCTGCAGGCCTGATTTCGCCCCCAACTGCCCTCCTCTGGACAATTTGGTTCTGATTGGTCAGTTTCTATGCCAGTCAGTATCAAAAGCTCCGCCTCCTAGGCAGCGATTGGCTCCTTACATTCACTCAGATTTGGTTCTGATTGGTCAGTTTTTATGCCAGTCAGCGTCTTTGGGCCTATCAACGGGACCTGATCAGAAAGGCGGGGCTGATCAGCAGCCTCGGTGGAGGCCTGGAGAGAAATGGAGGCGTGGCTGTTGGCCAGGCCAGGAGAGAAGGAGAGGCAAGTTTTGATCAATGGCTGCCACAGAGGCTACAGATCAGACCCTGCCTCTCTTTCTGCAGGCCTCTCTCCGGGCCTGATCCACAGCCCCCTAGGCCAGTGGTCGGCAAACAGCGGCTCGCGAGCCACATGCGGCTCTTTGGCCCCTTGAGTGTGGCTCTTCCACAAAATACCACATGCAGGCACGCACGTACAGTGCAATTGAAACTTCATGGCCCATGCGCAGAAGTCGGTTTTCGGCGTGGGCGAGTCTATTTTGAAGAACTGGCGTTAGAAGAAGTGGGGGGTGTTGGTCAGTCGGGTGACGGGAGACGTGGCCGCGGGATACGCAGCGCGGGGGAGGCGCATGCGATTCATGCACGAGTTGAGTGAGCCAGTCAGTCAGCAGTCTCATGTGCAGTGGTTAGGTATGTTAAGATGGTTTGGACATATAGAGAGGATGAACGAAAGTAGATAGACGAAACAAGTATACAAGATGAGTATGGATGGGAGAGTTGGAAGGGGCCAACCTCAGGGAACATACCTCAATCAGATTGAGGACCTTTTTAGCAAAGGCCAGCTTAGGAGTACCCTAATTAAGTTAATAACAATGTACCTACCTATATAGTTTAAGTTTAAAAAATTTGGCTCTCAAAGAAATTTCAATCGCGGTACTGTTGATATTTGGCTCTGTTGACTAATGAGTTTGCCGACCACTGCCCTAGGCAGTCAGTGCTGGGGCAGGGCGGCCGCAGTGTTTCAAAGTCAGTGCTGGGTCGCCAGGGCAACCCAGCACTGATTTACAGTCTGGTTGAGCCTTCAGTTATTACGACCCTGGCTCTTTATTATATAGATATAGATTGCACTCATATGTGGAATCTAAGTAACAAAATAAATTGATGAATGGAATGAACCTAGAGACATGGAAGCATGGAAAGCATGGAACAGAGTGCGGAATCTCAGAGGGAAGGCAGGGGAGGATGGGTGGGTGAGAGGTAATCAACCAAAGACCTTGAAAAACCCATGGACACAGACAATAGGGTACTGAAGGCCTGGGGAAGAGAAGGAGGAAGGGGGGCAGGCTGAAGGGGGTCTACGCGGGAAAAAGGGGACATATGTAATACTTTCAACAATAAAGAATTTTTTAAAAGATTTATTATTTTTTAAATATTACTAGATTCAATATGCTAGTATTTTGTTCAGCATTTTTTCATATATGTTAAATATATCCCCCAGATACCTGTTAGCATCAAACAAACTTTTCTTGTCTTTATTTATCCTCAGGTGTACTTTAGGTTAGTTGTTTTCTACCAGATACTTGGCTACCGAAACATATTTTCAAGTGTACATTTGGCCAATTATATCTAATGCAATACCTCTCCAAACTATAATCAAACATCCAAGTAAAGGCACAGCCAAGAAAAGTTACATAACATGAATTGCACAAGGGCAGAGTCCAATTCAAGCTTCTTGTCAATGATATTAGGAACATCATGTCTAACAAATATCATCAGTGATAAGAACTTGGATCTACTTTTCAGCAAGTACTGTTTTTTAAAAGGCCTCAGGCCCAGCAGGTAGCTCAGTTGATTAGAACATTGTTCCACTACACCAAGGTTGTGTGTTCAATCTCCAGTCAGGACACATATAAGAAGCAACCAGTAAACGTATAAATAAATGGAACAACAAATTGATGTTTCTTTCTCTCTCTCTCTAATCAATTTTTTAAAACCTTTTTAAAGATTTCATTTAAAAAAAGGTCTCAGATTTTTCTTAATCAAATATAATTTTCCATGGTAATGACAAACATTGGCTGAGAACTAGAGTATCGGGGTACTATATTAATGTACCTGTCTTTCTGTATCTCTAACATTCCTCAAAGGCTCAGCTAACACTTAAGGGATGACAACTAAAAAGTAAACTACAGAAGGCATCAATTATTTTTTAGCCTCACCTACTTTTAAGTTATTGGGTAGTTTAAGAACTGGATTTACTATACACTTCATCTAAAATATAAAAGACCCTTTCCTAAAAACACATTTTCTGGTGTCAGCAATACTTGCTTTAGTTTTTATCTATATTATTCATTTCATTAAGTAGAA